TCCCCGAGAGCTTTGTGCCATTTATTTTACAGCCATCCCCAGAAAGCCCAGTCAAGGTTCAGGGCTCCACCATGCTAGGTGCTGTGCAAGCAGAGGCAGGCTGAAATCCCAGACCTTGCTGAAACCCAGGGGAAAAAAGGAAAAAAAAAAAAAAAAAGAAGTCTCTCCAAGTTCAAGGTTTTTATTCCAGGTCCTGCCTAGGGCAAGCCGATAACAAAATCATCCTGTCACCTGGCGCTCAGATGTCTGTGATCCTGCACGGACTCGCTGCGGTGTGCGCTGTGCTTGCTAGTAAGAGCTTGCAAAACCAGAGTTTATCCTGAGCCTTTATTAAAAAGGGAAGCGGGGGGAGAGGAAAAAAAAAAAAAAGGAGAAAAGAAGGAAAAGCAGCGCGCCCAAGTTCCTCATGCGGGAATACTAATGCACGTACTATTTCTAGAACGTGCAAGTCCTCTGCTCATTCACGGGAGTCAGCCTGGTGTGATAAGAGTTCCACCCACGTTGCCTCCGCCTGATTGAGACTATCAAGACGGCGTCGGGAAGCACCCCGTGCGATCTGCCGTTACATAATGCAGCCCAGCTCCCCAGAACTGGCACAGTTCTGGAATTTGTGTTTGGTCCTAATGTTCCGTACCGAGCTGGCAAGTGAGATTCCTGCTCTGAGTGAGTGACAGTTGGAGCTTCGAAGCAGGAACATTTGCCCACCAAAGTTGCTGAACTCACCCACTGCCAAGTCTGTCACTAAAGCAGCAGATAGGCAGGGACAGCAGTACGTGGCATGGACTGTGTCACGCTCCTCTGCGCCTTCAGGTCCCAGTCCTGTGCGGGAGGACCGTGTGCCTGCCTGGGAGGTGGAAGAAGGCCACACTTCTCAATTTTAGGCAGTTTTATGTCCCTTTCTACAGCGACCTTTTCAGTATCACATATGCCTGAGTGGAAGGAGGATCACATTGTTTCTCAGGCAGAGAGCTGAGGCATGAGGAAAGGGACAGATACATTTTGGCGGATTTAAATCTCAGAGCAGTTTTTAGAACATTAATGTTCTCACCTGGGCACTCTGTCCTGCTGCTGCAGGTTACTGGCACTGCCCTGGGACAGGGATGGGTGCCCATCTCTGCTCTCAGCTGCTCCAGGGCATGAGCTGGTGCCTTGAGGCTCTGGTTCACATGGGACAGATTGAGGCAGGACAGGCACTCAGCTCATGAGGCAGATCTTTCCCTGGGATTGGCTTCCCCTTGTAGGCAGCTTGAAAACCATCACAGCCCTGATTTCAGTGTGTACCTCAGTTTGCCTGCATGCTGCGGAGGTGTGGAGCCACGTTTCCTCCAGCTGACTTTGCTCTGGGGCTGGGAGTCCATAGCCAAAGAGCAGCTGATAACATGGCCAGGGGCGACAGCAGCTCCAACTGCTGCACTAGGACTGCAGGGCATCCTCTGTGGCTTGGGCAAAGAACGGTTGGGGAGGTGCAGGAGGTGACACAGGTTTGCGTCAATCCTCAGAATATCATCACTGGATCATCTTCTGTGCTGGCCTGGCTTTGTTTTCACCTGCTTTTCCAATCTGCCAGAGTTTCTGGGTGTTAGCAGTCAGCATCTGGGCATTTCTCACTGTGTTTACCTGCCACCCAGGCTATGCTGGGTTCATCAGTATAACCCTGCAAGTCACCCCAGTGTGTAAGAGCGGCAGGCAGGGCTAGAGATGCTCGGGGTGCTGCAGAGGTGCCGTGGGGGTGGAAGTGGGGAGCAGAGGGGACTTTGTGGGAGATGCAGGTTGTGGGATGCAGCGGGGCAGTGGTGGGGTGCGCTGCCCTTGCTCCACAGCTCTCCTGGGGTGCTCCCACTCCCAGCTGGCCCTGCCTTTCCCACCGGGGCCAGCTCGGAGTCAGGTCACCCCCTGCCCCCGGACGCGCCGCAGACGGTCCCCGTGGGACTGACCCTGCTGTCATCACCAGCCTCTCCGGCAGTGCTGGGGGCCATCCGAGCCCCCTTGTCCGAGCCCAGGGCACTGGCGGGGGTCCCTGGCGGGGGGTCCCGTGTCTCTTAGGAGGGAGGGGGCCAGCCCGGTCCTGCGGCCGGAGGCAGCCCTGAATCCTCCCTATGGCAAAGGCAGCGCCCAGCGCTGGGGCTGAGCTGTGGCAAAACTCCCTCGCAAGAGCTGTTTGTTGACCACATTCACGTTCAGAGCCCTGAAGCTAAAAGCACTTTACACCATAAAATAAAAGCACTGTCTTTTTTTCTAAAAGGTTACGTCTGGAGGCCACGCTGCTCATACTTCATACAGAAAACTACTGAAAGGGCTATGAAATCCTCTATGATTTACACTCCCTCTCAGTGCATTAGGATATAGATCTACTCGACTCTAAAAATACTGTGGAGTTCCTAACCGACGTGAATATATGTGCATTATTTCAGAAAGTCTGTTAGAAAACTTGTCAACACATTATAAAGCATAAACCAGGACTTGGCCATTAAATACAGAGATCAGAGACAGAATGTATACGGCAGGAAGTACCGAGAAAAGTCCCTCCATTCAAAAAAAAAGTCTATTAGCTAAAAGTTTACACACAATATACACCAAAAGGTTTAGAGAGAGCCCATGGACCGCAATTACAAGGCATAAATAGAATCAGTAAGGGCTTTACAGTCCCCAGCACAGTTAACTGGGCTGCCAGAAAATAATTTTAATATTGTCATAATTTATTACCCACCGAAAGCCACATCAAGGATTGTAAATATAGTCACACTGTGCCCACGACTGCTCGTTAAAGAGCCTCGTTCTCTTCCCCTAAAAATACAATGAAATAAAAACCCACCTGCATTATTAATCTGCGGTCATGCCGTGTTAAAAATGTCTTCTCACTCCTTTTCTTTCTTGAGGTTTGTTATCTCCCTCCAATCACATGACAATGCGAAGCGCTGGGATGGGGGGGAGAAAGGAACGAGGGGGAGCCCAGCACTATTGCGATCAAATGCTAATATTAATAATTATCCAGCCAGGATGAAATATTATTTTTAAGGTAGCGAGTTTCCATTTAATTCGAGGCATTTTTACGGTGCTGGAATTAAGGGCATGCTGATGGTAGGAACATCCTCGCTGCCATTCATGAAAGCATCTGTAAAATTAGCTCCTGACTGTAGGTTTTGAGATGCGGTCTGGGAAGTCACCTCTGGAATCTCAAACACGGCACGATAATGAAACAGATTTAGTTGTCACCAAGTGCTTAATTTGCTATGATATTTTAAAAGAAAATCAATGAAACGATGCCTGTGACTGGGGAATAAGCACAGGTAGGTGTTCTGATGCAGGTTGGCTTTAGAGAGCGTAATGAATTGTAATTCAGAGGAGTGTTAACTGCGAACCGCAGAACCTTTCAGGGGTAATAAAGTCATTACTTTTTACATTGCAGCCGCCTTCAAAAGCTTTATACGTGCCATTAGATATAAATCAACCCCCATATATATATATATCTACATCTCCGCTACAGGCACACACGCCCGTTTCTGTGGGTTTCGCGCAGGGACATGTGCACGCCTGGCACAGCCAGCCCAGCGAGCGGCGTGAGCGCCGGAGCCGCCGCTGCTGTCACCTGCGGCTGGGTCCCCCCGCCACGTCCCGCATCTGCTCCCGCACCGCGCCGCGGGGCGCATCCCCACGCCCGTCTATGAGGGAGGGGAGCGGGGGGCTGAGCGGCGGCGGGCGGAGCCGGGGGGTGTTTGGGGGGCCGGCTGGCGGGAAGCTGAAACCATCGCACGGCGGAGCGGTCCGGCCCGGCCCGACAGCTCCGCCGGTGCGCCTCGGGCTCGCCTCGCCAACAGGTCCCCGCCGAGCCCCGGCCCCCGCCCGCCCCTCGCTTCCCGGGGCGGCCGCGGCTCTGCCCGGCCAAGTGTCTCTTACGGCGGCGGGCAGCTCCTCGCTCCCCCGGGGCTGCCGCCCGGCGCTCCGCTCCGGCTCTCCGCCGCCGTCCCGGGCAGGGTTATCCCCTCGCACTCCCTTCGCCGCCGCACTTTGCTCCGCACGCCCGTTCGCCTCCCGAGCTTAATTCTACCGCAACCTGATCCCTCGCGGTGCCGGCAGCGCCCGCCTCGCTCCGGGTCCTTTCGGCGAAGTTGCAGCCGCCGCCGCATCCTCCCAACTCCAGCCACTTCTCGGTGCCTCCCGCCGCCTCGGCTCCCCCCCTCTCCCGCCCTCCCCGGTGCCAGCCCGCTGCCCGCGCCGCCCCGCCGCCGGCAGACCCGCGTTTCGCTTTCGTTCGGAGCCTGTGGCTGCGGGCAGGGCTCAGAGCGCCGCCGGGGGAGGGAGGGGGGCTCCGGGCTGGCGGGCGAGAGCAGCCGGCGGGGAAAGCCGCGAGGTCCCGCCGCCCTCCGCTCCCCCGCCCCGCTCCTGCGGCTTCTCCTGCCGTGCCCGCCGCTTCCTCGCCCGCCAAACTCCGCTCGCTGCTCCCCGCCCGCCCCGGGGCAAGGCCCTCCGCTCCCCGCCGAAGTTTCCCGCGGCCCGGTCCGAGCCCCCGCCATCCCCAGCTCCCCGCGGGCCGCCGCCGCCGTCCCCCGGCGACGGGCCGCAGCTCCCGGGAGGAGGGGACTCCGCGGCTTCGAGGGGGATGCGGGGGGGGGGCCGAGCGGGGAAGCCGGGAGCCGGATGCCCCCCCTGCTTTTTGGGTGGTCTCCGGTCCTACCTGGCTTCCCCCAGCTCCCCCACTTCCTCGGCACAGCCCGCGGCCAGCCTGCCCCGCAGCCCTCTCTGCCCGGCTCTGGCTTCACCGATGTGTTTGCTTTTCCAGCGGGGGTGTGCGTGCGAGAGCTGCCGCTGCCTGCCTGCCTGCCTGCCTGCTCGCTTTCTCCCGCTCCTTTTCCTCCCTTCTCTCTCCCCGTGTGCGTGTTTAATTTCCCCCCCTCGCCCCTCTCCCGGCTCCCCTCCTGCACCCGCTCCTCCGCGGCCACTCGCGGCTCCGGCCGCCGCCCCCTCCGCCCCCGGCCCCCCGGCTCCATTCGGCAGCGTGCGCCGGGCGGCCAGTGCACCCCCGCCGCGCCCCTCCCTCTCCCCCTGCGATCACTGTCCATTGGCTTGTCCTGCTCTCTTTTTCATGTCCAGCCCCTGATGAGTGTCCATTGGTGTTGCCTTCGCCTTCCCTCCTCCCCTCTCCCCGGCTTGCCCTGCCCATGTTTTGTATGTCTCTGTCCATCCAGGCTCCTGACGTTCAAGTTCGCAGGGACGTCACGTCCGCACTTGAACTTGCAGCTCAGGGGGGCTTTTGCCATTTTTTTCATCTCTCTCTCTCCTTCTCTCTCTCCCTCTCTCTCTCTCCCTCTCCCTCTCTCTCTTTTTTTTCCTTGCACAAAAAAAAAAAAAAAAAAAAAGCCATGACTGCTATCCCACAATTCATCTTCCCTGCGCCATCTTTGTATTATTTCTAATTTATTTTGGATGTCAAAAGACATTGATGAAGATATTTTCTCTGGAGTCTCCTTCCTCTCTAACCCGTCTCTCCCGATGTGAACCGAGCGACTCACAAGCCACCGAAGCCACCAACCCACCATGTCGCGCCGCAAGCAAGGCAAACCCCAGCACTTAAGCAAACGGGAATTTTCACGTAAGTAACCCGGAGAGCAATTTATTTAATTTCGCCTTCACGGATTTAATTTTTAATTTGAGCGAGAGCAGGGAAAAAAATATTTTAAAGTGAGAGCGAGTGAGCGAGTCGGGGGGGGGAGGTGGAAAAAAATTAACTCAGCGCCGGCTCGGGATTCGCAGCATTCCGGGTAATTTCTCCCTCTCTAATTTAATCACCTTGATGACTTTTCTTCTCTTTCTGCCCGTGCCCTTCGCCCGCCGGCGCGCACTCCGCTGCCCCGCTCCGCGCTCGCCTCCCGCTCTCCGCGCTCTTTGGCGGCAAGAGCGGCAGCTCTCGCCCCGGCACCGGGAGAGGCGCGGGCGAGGTGCGGGGCTGCCGGGGGCAGAACCGGCCGAAAGTGGGAAGAAATTCCTGCGGGAGCGGCGGGCTGCACGCCGGACACCCCCGGTTGCCGTGCGGGCGGGGAGCTGCGAGGCGAGCGGAGCGCGGAGAAAGTCCGGCGGCCGGAGCCCCCCGGGCTGCCGGCGGGCTCGCCCCCTCGCCCCGCGGCGCCCTCCCGGGGGGGCCGAGCCGAGCCGAGCCGGGCCGCCTCCCTTTTGTTTCCGCCGCGGGGTGCGGGGTGGCCGTCCCGCCGCCCCCCGCTCCCCGCCGCCCCGGGCCGCCGCCGTGCGGGGCTCCGCCGCCCCGACCTCGCCCCGCGCCCGCCCCGCCGCCGCTCCGGCTGGGGCTGGGGCGGGGGCGGCACCGGGCGGCGAGGGAGAGCCGAGCCGAGCCGCGCCGCGCCGGCTGGGATTCCCTCCTCGCCCTCGCCTCGCGTTCTCCCGCTCGTTTACTATTTTTTGGAAGATTTTCAAAAAAAAAAAAAAAAAGTGGAAGTGGATTTTGATTGGGAAAAATCTCGTGTCTGAATGTTTACAAGCACCGCGTGTGCGGGGAGCCTCCTGCCAACAAACACAGGCGAGAGCGAGCCCGGGCTGAGCACACACACACGCGCGCACACACACGCACACCACACACTCGCACCCTCACACCCGCGAACGGCCCTTTCTCGCCGCCGCATTTCAACCCCAAACCAAATCCGCTCTCCCCGGGAGAGAAAAAACAAACCCCGAGCCCCACCACCCCGTTCGCAACAAAAACTCTCCGGCTCCCTCCGTCCCTCCCTCCAGCCGCCACCACACACACCAGGGCTAGATGCAAGATAAGCGGGAGCGCTCTTTGCACAACAAAAGGCAACTCGAGCTGGAAAGGTTTGGGGCGAGGGGGGTGGGAAGGAAGGGAGAGGAAAAAAAAATCCCGTTTTCCTCGAGGTGAGCCGGGGGGAAGGGGAAATGCTGCATGCTTCTCCTCGCTCCTTTCCCCCTCTTCTTTGCTTTTTCTTTATTTCTTCCTTTCCTTTCCCCCATTGCTCCCGGCGGGTTTTGTTCCCTCCCAGGGATGGCAGAAAACCCAGGGCGGTTTCTTCCTGCCAACCATCCCTGGCTCCCTCAGCCTTTCGCAAAACCCCCCAAACTTTCCGCCGCGATTTCTCTCCCCCACGGCCGCCCAAACATTCCAGCCAGGTTCGCACATGGAGCGGAGCAGCGCTGGCTCTTTTGCAGACGGGCAGGGCCGACCGGAGGCTCTGCCCTGCCCCAAGTTTGTCCTAAAACCCGGGGGGGTCTCGGGGGCTCAGTCCTCGCCCCTTCCCCACCCCCCGGTCGCTTTTCCCCTCTTTCCCCGCTACTTTTTGGGGAGCTTTTTTATTTTGACTGCCTGTCTGGGCTGGGGTGCAGCATCACTGGGTTATGGAGGTGCGACGCCCCCCTCGAAATGGGGGTACGAGGGTTGCTTTCCTCGGTCGGCCCTGGGAGTGGGGGGAATGGTGGGATCGCGGCGGGACCGGCGAACGGAGGAGGGGGTGGGGGCTCCCACTCGGCTCCCGGGGCAGCCGCGCCGGGCAGGATCCCCGCGGCTGCTCCTCGCCGAGGAACCCGCGGGCCAGCGCGGAGTTCCCGCACGTGCGGGGCGGGAGCGGCGGCCGGGACGGGCCCGGGGGGTCCCTGCGGCGAGAGCCGCCCCGGGGATGGGGAAGGGGAGGGGTGGGTGGGCCGGCAGACAGAGTGGGGGAAGGGAGGCCGGGCCGGGAGCGGCGAGCCGGGGATGCGGCGGCGGCCGGGCCGGGGCGGCGGAGGCGGCGGGCGGGCTCCGTGCCCGATTCGGTCGCTAGGAGGCACAGCGAGATCAAACAACCGGGCAGCCCCGCGAACTTGAACCTGGCCGGCTCCGCCGCTGCCTCCCGTCCGGCGGGAGGGGAGGGCGCCCAGCTCCCTCCCTCCACCCCCCTCACGCCCCCCTCCTTCTCCTTCTTTGTTCTTAATTTTGCGCGGAGTTTGCTTGCTCCGGGTGCTGGCGGGGGATGCTCGCCTTCCCCCTCCCCGGGTTTCCCCTCCCTCCCCTTAACGTGTTGGCGGTTCCCATTGTACCCCCAAGTCCTTCCTTTTCCTTGCACCGCACGATCCCAGGACACAAACTTGGGATTAAACAACCCCTCTGCATCCTTCCCACGGTACGGTGCGGGGAAATGCCCCGACAGCGCATCCGTGTTGCCCCGCGGGCATTTCCCCACACCGTACCGTGGCATCCCCCCCTCCTCGCCCCATCACCCCCGGTACCTCCTTTCTCCCGACACTCCAAAAGCCATCCCGCTTTTGCCGGTGCGGTTGTTTTGGTGACTGGGAACAGGGGGAAGAAGGGGGGAGTAGGAGGGCGAAGGGGGAAAGCTGAAAAGACATGTTGGTGGAAGGGCAATTTGCATGAAAAATAGAGACGGATGATTAGGGACCCAGGCAGGGAATTTTGATTGCCCCAGAATTAAAAGATGCATCCCGCAAATCGGAGGCAAGACCAGGTGAATTGTATTCCAGTGTTTTCTTTGTAATCCTGGTATTTTATATTTTGTTTTAAAAGTAGCAGTCATAATAAAAAGCATATTTTTTTTCCCGGCTCTGCCTCCATCAAGAGCCAAATGTTTTGCAGTGAACACAGTGCCAGCCGTATTTCATACATTAGTATATAATTCTTGTTAATTAGCAATAATTTACGTTAAGAGCATAGAAAATGTTGAGGTTACAGGTTTTATATCTGTACATTTGATCATCTTGTTATTTTCAAGAACTTTGCCTCCTATAAAATTAATTAGGTGAAATGTGGAGGTGTAATCAGCAACCTCTGAATTACCACTTCATTTCCTGGTTTTGATTGTAAATCAGCCCAGTCCGTACAGACTTTTAGCAAAGTCTATTTTTGCTCAGCGTTACTTTTAACTGTCTGGTGTCGAAGCAGCGGGTTACCTTCCCCTGCTAAATAATAGTGACAGCGTCAGAAAGGAATCAGGCCGCGGGAAAACATTATAATTGAGTAATGATTATGCAGAGCTCCTCGCTAAGCCAGTTGCGAGGGGAATACGGGTGATTTTGTGTCTTCTGCTGCGGAGGGTCGCTGAGCTCCAAGTTAGATTCGCAAAATACCTTTGTCTGCGGCGTGCAGCGAGCTACCGGTGGAATTAGTCCTGCGGTAATTTACTCCCTCGGTCCGAACGCAAGGAACGGCTGGGGAGGAAAAACGCCGTGCCCGGCAATCCCGCAGAAACACCCTGCTCCTCTCCCGGCTTCCCGAGGAGCGTGTGAGACGCACGTTGTGCCTCTTGCTCTTGCCGGTCTGCAAGTTTAGGAGGAAAACCCCAGCGATTAAGACATTGTTTTTATTAATGCGAACGTAACCTTCATATTCCTGTGGTTGACCTTACGTTAAATTAGAAGTAGTACTAGAGGCAAGAAATGATGGACTGGATCCCTGTGTCCTAGTTGGAGCTGAGGTACGGCGAGGTAGTGTGCTCTTTCAGTATTATTTTACGCAGCACAACTGGGAGCTACTCCAGATCTTCCTCCTCAATATTCAGCCTAGGTAGGGTTGAAATAAATTTAACCTGAGTTCACTGGATTTTTGCACTTTATCAAAATCAGTTCCAATATCGTGCAGTCAAATTAAAATCTATTTTTTGATTCTCTGTGGCTTTAAGTTCATTAAATGTGAAATTGGCAGCCAGCTAAAGAAGGTCAGGCTGATTAACTGTTTAGGAGTTGTATTGTGTCTCTCTTGCATTACCTGGCAATGTTTTGAGGTGGGTTGTATTTGTAGTACCCTCTCCCCCTGCTCGCTGCTGTTAGCGTGCGTGTTGTATTGCGCAGACAGAGGAACACCAACACGCTACTGGTATTTATTTTTTTTTTACCTCGTGAAAGGCAATAGTGATGGAGACTGCACAGGGATTGCCAAGGTATTTCTCTGCAAATTTAACCTAAAAAAAAAAAGCAAAAAACAAACCCACAACAGAAAAGAGAGCCGCAGCCTGCCTCGTTAGAACATCCACTGACGATTCTGTGAGCAGAAATAGCCTCATAATGAAGCTTTTTGGAGCTCATTCAGAAAATTTGTCAACTTTGACAACATTAGGCAAGGTATTTTGAGTTTAAAGAAGGCGCTTCTCACTGTTGCGAGGAAATGTGGCAGTTGCTTGGCCAGGCTGATTTTTAGATGCTGAGGGCCACCAGTGCTAACACGCTCAAGATAATTTAGGCATTCCCTTATTTCAGGATTAGAAAGCACAAAATTACTGATTGCCTTGTTTCCTTAAGTACTGAAAAATATCCCATCCATTTAATATCTCTGGGTGGACTCGGTGGTGAATTTGCTATTTATTTGAATCCTGAGGAGTAGCTGAAAAGTGAGAGGTGCCTCCCCCCAGCCCCGCAGGCATTTCTGCTGCACTTGCTTTTTATCATTTCAGTTTCTGCCATTTATTTATCTATCTATCTATTTATTTATTTATTTATTTGCCTCATCCCCTCCCTCCCCCTACTACAACTACTGCCTTTAGATTTTTTTATTTTTCAATTGGAAGCCGCAAACAGGCCGACAGGGACAGTGACACAGATCCATACGTACGTGTGTGCACGTGTGTTCTGAGGGCTGTGTGTGCCCCGCGTGTCGGTGCCTGGGTGTGTGTGGCCATGCGGGCTGGCTCTCCCTCTCTTTTCTTTTCCACGTATACACCCGCTTCCTGCACGGCCTGGACAGGGAATATGCAATATCTGTCTACATTCAAACACCTTTTGTCTACACTGTATTTCAGGCTTCTGAATTTCAGAAAGTGGGTCTGGCTCGTGGAAGATACACACCCATGTGGTGTGAGAGAGAGAGACAGTGTGTGTGTGTGTGTGTGCAGTGCTTTTAGCCTCGAATTCATATACATAAATAATGCATCCAGCAATAAAACACCGTATTCGTGGTAGCACAAGAGTTTCGCAGTTATTCCAGCCTGTTCGTTTAATTTTAGCACCGAATCGTTCGGCGAGTCAGAAATTTGCCCTCATGTAGGAACACGGGGACAGTTGCGGTGCTCGCCTCTCCCGAGTTCTGCGTGCTACAGCTGCTTCTGCCAAACCTCTTCCCTGTAGCTGATGAATCCATCTCCTCGCTGCCGTGCTGACAGGCCGTGTTGCGTGGCTTTAGCTGGGGGGAGCAGGCGGACATGGAGAGCGGGGTGTAATATTCATGAAGAGGGGGCTCGGCGCGTTCCTCCCCCCGCGCCCGGTGCCTTTCCCGAGAGCTCTAATGATTCTCCTTTTGTTTCTCAAACTGCAGCCGAACCTCTTGAAGCCATTCTCACTGATGACGAACCTGAACATGGCACATTGGGAGCTCCGGAAGGGGACCACGACCTCCTCACTTGTGGCCAGTGTCAGATGAACTTTCCGTTGGGGGACATTCTTATTTTTATTGAGCACAAACGGAAACAATGCAATGGCAGTCTCTGCCTAGAGAAGGCTGTGGATAAGCCACCTTCACCCTCACCAAGTGAGCTGAAAAAAGCATCCAATCCCGTGGAGGTTGGCATCCAGGTTACGCCAGAGGATGACGATTGTTTATCAACGTCATCTAGAGGAATTTGCCCTAAACAGGAACATATAGCAGGTAAATTAAAGCAAGGAGAAGTGTTTGCGAGTTTATTTCCGTTTCAGTTGCAAACGTAGCGTGTTGGCAGTTGTGAACTGCTGTGTCTGTCTGTGTTCTGCCCGCCGTGACGGCCCGTGGCGTGTTCAGTACCCTCCCTGCCTTGGGCTGGTGGTGAGTGGTATTTCCTAGTGCCTGTGCAGCGGCAGGAGCAACAGGCACGTGCCGTGCCAGCCGGTGTTTCCAGCGGTATTGTTTGAGGCCGCTCTCGTGATTTGCCTGTATTGTAACCACCGTCTCCCGGTGTCTCTCCTACCGGAGCGCCTCGGGAGGAGGTTTCAGAGCCTGCCGCGCGATAGAGCGAGGAGCTTTCGAGTCTTTGGCAAAGTCAGGGGTGAAAGAGTTAACCGAGCATCAGCCAGCCTTGGTTCCATATTGGCTGTCAGCGTATGGACTGTAATTAAACACAGCCCCATGGCAAAGTGACACCACCGACCTTGACTTTAAGATGCCATTTTCGACTGGCCAGGCCAGAGTAGAGAGGGCAGTTGCTGAAGCGCACAGACATGCTTATTCGGAAAGTTTAAGGGCATGTTGGAAATTTCAAAAGGTTGGTTTGACAGGAAAGGCTGCTCTCTGCAGCCTGCCTCCTCAGCCAAATGATAAATGCTTCGCTGTGCTCTCTCTTGTCTCTGATGTGGTTTTGACAGATGTATCTTGATTTTGTTTGCGGTTTACACAACCACATGTCAGCCGTACAAATGTCCAAGGCAGAGTTCTGGTTTGTGCAACAAACAATATGAAATGTGATTTTTAAAAAAATAGGGTGAATAATACCATTTCTTAGCATTTGTGGTTTGGTTTTTTTTTTTTTTTTAAAAAAAAGGAGAGCCATTCGCCGTGCAGATATTTTCACAAATGAGGTTAAAAAAATAGAGTGTACCATGTGAAAGAAAATCCCAGAGCCCGGGAGTGTAACAAGGCACGCTCTGCTTTTAAAATCCTGCTAGTAAACAAAAGTAGTACCCATTTGCAGCGAGCGTTGCAAATCACTTCAAACCGCGCCAATACTGCTGGTTGAAAAAGGCGAGACCGCAGCGTATCTACACCAACAAATGCCTGAACCAGTTTCAAACTCCCCTCCAGCGGTGTTTGGGATGTGGCACTGCCGGTACCTCTCTTCTGGGAGCCCACAGGACCGCTCGGGGTTGTCGGAGGCGCAGCACATCATCACATGATGTGCTGGAGCTTGTCTTGGGCTCGCTTTGGCCACAAAGTTAAACCATAATAGGGCAGTAGGCGCAGGGAGGTTCAGTGGGATACTCCCGCAGCCTCCCTGGCTTATCCAAACCGGCCGTCAGATCGTGCTGGAGAGCTGGAGTTTTGGAGGTTTTGTGGTGGCAGCAGATAAGCGTTGGGGTGTGTGTCTGTCTGTGCACGTGTCTGTGTGCAGAGCCGTGTGCGCGCACACGCGTATGTCATGTGAACGAGTCCTTACTGTATTTCTTTGGAACATGAATATCTGTACATTTAAGAGGAAACAGAGGCCCAGCTGCTGCTAAGCTACATTTTGAATGAGACTTAAAACCCCCAACAATTCCCCGTATTGCGCTTCCCAGACATGGATGTTGAAGGTAGGGTTTCTTTCCCAGAGTGGTAGAGGGCAGTGCCCATTTCCATGTGCTGCCTGCGATCTGACGGGAAACGAGCAGAAGCGTAGGGCATGATTAATGAAGCAAGAGCCTGGCGGAAGGGATTTGTAGTCTTCCGAGCTCTGGAGCCATCCTAAATCACCAAATATGGAGGAGCGGCGGTGTGATGTAACGCTGTATTTACGTACGGCGCCGCTCTGCTGAAAAGACAGAACACAGTGTCTGTCAGGCAAGAATTAAACATACTGTCCTCCCCGTGGTCCCAAATAGGTCCTTGGGCTGGAGGGATGGACACGCCGGGGAGTTCTGTGTGAGGGGAACTTCCTCCACTGGGGGTTTTGCGCTGGCATTCGGTTGGCGCGGGAGGCTCGTCGAGCCAAGTCTCGTTTTGCGTGGCGCGGGTGACACGAAGCGGGAAGGGTTGGGGCTCGTGCGCTGTCAGGGAGCTGTTAATTCCGAAAGGGCCGTGGTTTTAACTGACTGTAAATGGTTTGGTGAGCAGAGGCAGTGGGTGATGAGAGGTGCACATTAGCAGGGCCCTGATCCTTCTTGCTCTTGCTTGTTTGGGATCACCTTTGCTCTGCGAGTGGGCCCGGCTTGGAGCAGGCTTGGTGCCGGGCAGGAGGGTCTGTGATCATGAGTAGAGACCGCATTGCAGCTGTTAGGGCTCTCCTGCCCCAGGTTTTTTGTGTGGTGGTGCCCAGCCGTGCTTGTGGACAGGAGGTCCAAGAGTGCAGGTCCTCTGCACCTCCTTGGCTCGGCCAGAGGCAAGGGACGCTTGTTTCTTCCTGTTGGTTGGAAATGCAGCCTGGCTGTGGGAAGGGGAGAAGGTGCATCAGGAGTTGTGGGGTCTTGCACTATCCCTACCCTTTGTGTTATCATCTCTCCTTTCACCTGGATGAGTTCAGATCCTTTGTATCACGAAGAAGTGTGGTGATAGCTGGAGTAACCCCTTGCTTGTAGCCAGTAGTTTGTGGCATCTGGCAGTAAAATTACCAGTGAGGGTCTTGGAGCCTGAGCTGTGGAGTTCAGGCTTCTGGAAGGCCCCTGCAGTGAACCGCAGGCTCTTCCAGTTCTCCTGTTTTATATCTGATTTCCGTGCAAGAATGCAAAAAGCAAAAGATAGGAGTGTGTAATTAAAAAGAACAAAAAAGACAGAGGCTGCCTTTAGAAAAACACACAGAAGTTGGGGAAGTGATTCTTTGTGGTAAGAAACCAGAAAGTATGTATTTTGTAGCAGTGTAAAAATGTTCTCGATTAGTTGTGAGACTGAAAGACATGTTCTAGGTTAGCCCTGGATACAGAGGTGCTGTGGGTGAGCTCTGGGTGTGGTGTGTGCTCTGCCTGCAGTTCTGTAGTCAGTAACTTGGGGTGTTACAGTAAAATACCATCTGAAGATGAGGAATGGTTAAGGATCCACAGGCGAGGAAGGAAGGCAGCGAATCATCCAAATGCAGGGAGAAATGATGTCTGTTTTAAAGCGTCGCTAGGCTGCTCTTTATCCCTGCCGTTTTCCAGAGGCAGGGATGAGAACAGGAGCTTGTATGTGTGTGTGCAACCCGTGCAGGAGCCGTATGGGTGCAGGCATGTGTACGTACCTGGCTCTTCCATGTGGGTGTCTGCCTGCCCGTAGCTCTGCCTCGCTATAAAAATTTTGAGTGATGCTGATCCAGCGCTGGAGCTGAAATGCCATAAATTTAACTGAAAATTAATAGGATATGTTGTGTGGGTCCAACGAGGCAGCTTTCATCAATATGTATGTCAAAGCCTCACCACCAGATACCGGCAGCCCGTGATTTGCAGTGAGGGCGACGGCCGGGCTTTAGTTATCCGCTCTCGTATTTTACAATAGGGGGAAATATTAACTGAAGTATCTGGAGATCAGTGGATGTAAAATTGCTGTTCCCTTATTGGAAAGGCTGAAGAAATATTTATCGGCCGCCCGTGTCAGGTTTTAGCGGTTTGTTTGTTGAATGTATAAATCCGAGGGAATTAGTGAAAGGTTGGGGTTTTGGGTGAGGAAGGATCTTAAATGTTACTTGGATGCTGTTGGAGGAACACTTTGGAATGCTGCTGCGTATTCCCCTGTATAATGCCGAGTGTGCATCCGTGGATGCTGTATTTACTGTACAAAGAGGGGAGGAGGAGGGGAGGTCATTTTTTTCTGCTCGAATCCTGTATTCTCGAGCTGCTCGTGGCATTCAAATAAAACACGTGGGAAAATCATGTAAGAAAACCCTCTGTCTGCAGCAAAGGTGGACGTTATTTCGTACTAAATTTCAGACCGAGCATATTGGATTATTACAGTTCTCAGGAGATAATGTCTTTGAGCAGAAATTTTCTTGGGCTGTTATTAGTAGTTGCCATTATAATTCTGTAGGTTTTTAATGGTGATTCCTTATCTTGTTTTGTTCTGGAGGCATAAAGAAAAAAATATTCCTGTCTGCATTGAATAGTGATCATTGCATTTGGACAATAAGATGAAAGCTTAAAGATAGAGAGGGGGGAAAAATGGAGAATATGGGCTTATTTTGGAGTCAAATTCTATCTACTTTCCCCGTACAAACAAACAGAGGGCACAGGCTGGGTAAAATATTGCAAGCAGGAAAAATAGTGAGGGTGCTGCCCACAGGCTCTCACTCCCGAGATTTGGAGCTCTGCGTACAAGCTGTATTTGTAAATAAGACAGAGAAAGGTTGTGAACTGGCAGCTTGGCTGTTTTGTCGAAGTACAATGTCAGAGAAACTCTTTCTAAGACAAATTGTAAATAGAAGTGTCATGATGATTGCATGATTGAGCTCTAGAAGTGTCTTGCAATTGTTGGCATTGTCAGAAGACTTTTGAAAGCTTAATTAAAGGCGGTGGCCTGCGTGGCTGTGAAATTTACTTCTGGGGGGGGGAAAAATGTAAAAAATGTAGGGGATCAAAAAGTTGCTCTAATGCTGCTCGCGTGGGGATGCAGAGAAGAGTCAATAGTTTCCCTGCTTTCCCCATTCCCTTTTATAAATAACGTTTTTTGAAGAAGCAAACACGTGACACCAATATCATCCTTTGTACGAGGTAAAGATTGTGTTAGTTTTCCTATTCCCTGCTGTTCCAGACAGTTAATGTAAAAATGGCTCTTTATTGGAAACACAAATATGAGTTCACTTGCAGCACAGAAGCAGGGTAGAAACTTTCCCTCTGCCTCAGCAAGAGCCTTCCAGGGGAGCATCAGAGTGTTGTGGTGCCCTGAATATTTCTAGTTTGGTTTTGGGTTTGTTTTTTTTGTTGTTTGTTTGTTTGGGTTTTGTTTGTTTCTTGGAAATCAGATCTTCTGGTTTAGAGGATGGGAAATATGTTTTACGTGTGGGACAGTGAGCTGTGGAG